TTTCACGGCACGACTTTACCAGAAATAGCAAATTAAAAGAGACAAAATGGAGAAAGTAGAATATTTCAGTTTGGTCTAAGCTTCTACGTTCCTAGATTTAACAGACAATGCGGCGAGAAACACCACTGAAACAATTATCATTAAAACTCTTTCGGGAAAAAGAGAAGTGTTCATCAGAGATGTTGCGTACGATCAGTAGCAACATAAAGAAATCGATATATTTTAATTTGCTGTCGTAAAGTCCAAATAAAACTTCCCTATCGCAGAAGAGTGAAAAGGAAAAGGTTTTTTCAGCTAGACAAAAGTTCTCCCTTACAGGTATCGTAGCCAGTGGTTGTTACTGAAAATCTCTGGTGACAAGGTCTTCAACTTGTTTTTGGACAAATTCCTCGAAAAAAAACAAAAAGTGAAAATGCCAAGTTATTTTCCCGGCTAAGAACATTAAATTTGGGGCTCTACTTGATCTTTATCTCCAAGGAACTTAACTTGTAACTTAACGCATAAGCTCCTTCTAGATCATGTTATTTGAAACTTAAGAGCAAATGTGCTCAAAACTCGAACATTTTCAAAATATGTTGGCAACAGCCAAAGAATCAATTAGGCTCATATTCTCGGCCGAATGAACGAATTGCGAACTGGTATCGATTAGGTCACGTGGCTCAGTAGCACATGGTTGTGATTTAAGAGTAGTTTCGTGTCGGGGACCGTAAATGCTATGCTTGTTGCAGTTTTTGTTTCTTCACTACCGTTAATTGCACAGAAAATGTAAGTGTCAGGTTTATAGTTTCCTTCTCACCCCGATCAGTTGTTAATTCAAGTTTTCTTTCGTTCAGTTTTTACCGTAGGCGTAGATAATTCAAGACAACACAAAGTGTCACAAGTGGTGGAAATGTTTGTACTTGGAGGTTGTCTGGCCCGAGGTTGTCAACGACCATCAGGTGATCTTTATTAAAGCGTTTATATTATTCTACAACTACATGTCAGAAAATCTCTCGGAAAGAGTACCATATAACCCCATACATAATTATGCAATCCACTTCTTTGTCTTTCACGATAAAACTTTAAAAACAAAGTCTACTAGTCTGAATGCATAATTATGTATGGAGATATATGGTACTCTTGCCAATCTCTCTGCAAATTGTCCCGAGCATTAGTAAAAAATTTTCTTTCTAAATATTTGATTGCAAGTGGGTTTTGTCGAGCGATGGATGGTGGAAATGTTTGTACTTGGAGCA